GGCCACCAGGGAGAAGAAAATGATAACTTATAAAGAAAAAACCATTAGATTATCAGCGGACTTTTCAGCACTACATTACAAGCCAGAAAGGAGTGGAATCAAATATTGAAAATACTAAATGAAAGAAAATACCAGCCAAGAGTACTGTATCCAGCTAAGCTCTCCTTTAGATGTGAAGGAGAAATTAAGACCTCTCCAGACATACAAAAATTATGGGAATTCTCTACTACAAGGCCTGCACTACAGGAAATACTGAAGGGGATCAGCTAACCTAAAACAAAATGACAAAAACAAAATACATAATTAGGAGTAAAGTGACTATCAGGCAAATAGAACCAGATGAGTACAACCTATACTAAAAACAGGGCATTATAAGCTTAAAATAAGAAGGGAATTGCTATATCAAGATAGTAATGAATGTTCAGAATACATAGGGACAAGTTGAAAAAGCAATGACTAAAAAGGAAAGGATGCAAATTTCCAAATTTGCAAACGAGAATAGAAATAAGGCACGTGCAGAAGAAAACAGATGACTGTATATATACATATATACATATATATATATATATCAATCTTTTTCATATTTGTGATGGTAACCACACACCAATAATTCAGAACTAAAGGTTATAATATAAAACAAGAAGAACCAGAGGCAAAACACACAGAAGCTAACTTAAATAAAAAAGACAGAAACACAAGGACAAGGAAACAATGGAAACATTGAGCTACCAGAAAGAAAAAGATATAATGGCTATAAGACCTCATATTTTAATAATCACCCTAAATATAAATGGACTGAACTCACCAATAAAAGGGCACAGAGTTGCAGAATGGATCAAAAAACAAAACATAATATACTGCCTCCAGGAGACATATCTCAGCTCCAAAGACATACAGACTCAAAGCAAAAGGGTGGAAAATGATATTTCAATCAAAAGACATTCAGAGAAAGTGGAAGTAGTGGTACTAATATTGGACAAAATAGACTTCAAAATAAAAAAGGTAAGGAAAGATCCTGAGAGACACCTTATAATAATAAAGGGAATCATGCACCTAGAAGACATAATACTTATTTTAATATCTATGCTCCCAATCAGAGAGCACTGAAATATGTAAAGCAATTACTAACAGGACTAAAGAGAGAAACAGATCAAAACACTTTCATAGTACGGGACCTAAATACCCCACTGTTGGAAATAGACAGATCATCCAAACAGAAAATTAATAAGGAAATAATATCTTTAAATGACACATTAGACCAACTGGACATAATTGACATTTACAGAGCCTTCCATTCCAAAACAGCTGCTTATACATTCTTCTCTAGTACACATGGAACATTCTAAAGAATGTTCTGTGTCCCACATACTGGGACACAGAAATAGCCTCAACAAATATAAGAAGGTTGAAATCATACCAACCACATTCTCTGATCATAATGCTTTGAACTAGAGATCAACTGCTAAAAGAAACCAGGAAGAACCACGAATACATGGAGATTAAACAACATGCTCCTAAATAATAACTGGGTCAGAGAAGAAATAAAAAGAGAGATCAAGAGATACATAGAAACAAATGAGAATGTTAGCACAACATATTAAATTTTGGGACATGTCGAAAGCAGTTATAAGAGGAAAGTTCATATCAGTACAGGCCTATCTCCAAAAACAAGTGAGCCCAAATAAACAACTTAATGCTTCATCTTTAAAAACTAGAAAAGGAAGAACAACTAAAGCCTAAAACAACAACAACAACAAAAAACAATAGAAAGAATAAATGCAACAAAAGCTGGTTCTTTGAGAAGGTTAATAAAATTGACAAACCCTTGGATAGACTCACTAAAGAGAAAAGAAAAAGGACACAAATAAACAAAATCAGGGATGAAAGAAGGGAAATTACAACAGACATCACAGAAATACAAAGGATCATACAAGAATACTATAAAACTGTATAACACCAAATTTACTACCCTAGAAGAAATGGACCAGTACTTAGAAAAATACAAACTTCCTAGACTGACACAAGATCTAAACAAACTGATCAGCAGTATGGAAATTGAAACAATTATCAAATATCTACCAAAATGTAAAAATCCAGGACCAGATGGCTTCACCATTGAATTCTATCAAACATTCAAAAAAGATTTAATACCTATTCTCCTCAAAGTCTTCCAAAAAATCAAAGAGAAGTCTATACTTCCCAACTCATTTTATTTGGCCAATATTACTCTAATGCCAAAACCTGGTAAAGATAATATAAAAAAGAAAACTAGAGACCAATATCTCTCATGAACACAGATGCAAAAATCCTAACTATGATACTTGCGAACCAAATTCAGCAACATATTAGAAAAGATTATACACCACAATCAAGTGGGCTTCATCCCAGGGGCATAGGAATGGTTCAACATATGCAAATTGATTAATATGATACACTACATAAACAAATTAAAAAATAAGAATCATAATATCATATCAATAGATGCAGAACAAGCCTTTGACAAGATACAGCATCCATTTAACAAAATTGGTACAGAAGGAAAATACTTAACAAAATATTTAACAAAACTGGTACAGAAGGAAAGTGTCTTAAAATAATAAAGGCCATATATAACAAACACTCAGCCAACACTGTACTAATGGTGAAAAAGTAAAAACCTTCCTTCTAAGATCAGGAACAAGGCAAGCCTGTCTACTATCACCACTGCTATTCAATGTAACAGTGGAGGTCTTAGCGAGTGCAATTAGGCAACAGTAAGATATAAAAGGCATCCAAATAGCAACGAAGAAGTCAAACTGTCACTATTTGTGGATGACATGATTCTCTATATAGAAATCCCTAAAGACTCCACAAGAACACTACCGGAAACAATAAGCAAATACAGTAAAATCTCTGTATACAAAATCAACATTCAAAAATCCATAGGGTTCCTATACTCTAATAATGAAGCGTCAGAAAAAAAATGGAAAAAGTAATTTCTTTTGCAATTGCAACAAAAAGAATAAAATCCCTAGGAGTAAATTTAACAAAACATATGAAGGATCTATATAATGAAAACTACAAGACCCTATTTAAAAAAAAATCTAAGAAGATACAAAGAAATGGAGAGATAGTCCATGTTCTTGGATTGGAATCAACATAGTTCAAATGACCATATTACCTAAAGCATTATACAGATTTAATGCAATCCCCACCAAAATCCCATCAGCATTTTTTAAAGAAAAGGAACAAAAAATCATCAGATTGGTATGGAAACACAAAAGACTCCAAACTGCCTAAGCCATACTGAGAAGAAAGAATGAGGCTGGAAGCATCACTCTGCCTGACTTCAAATTATTCTACAAAGCGACAGTAATCGAAACAGCATGGTATTGGCAGCAAAACAGACACATGGACCAATGGAACTGAATCGAGAGTTCAGAAGTAAACCCATATTTATGCGGGCAAATAATTTTCAACAGAAAAGCCAAAAACATACAGTGGAGAAAGGAAAGCCTCTTCATTAGATGGTGCTGGGAAAATTAGAAGGCCCCATGCAAAGGAATGAAACTAGACTGTTGTCAATCACCACACACCAAAATTAACTCTAAACTGATTAAGGACCTGAATATAAGACCAGAATCAATAAAATGCATAGAAAAAAACATAGGAACTAAATTGAAGGACCTTGGACTTAGAGGATTTTATGAATTTGACCTCAAAGGCAAGGGAAGTAAAAGCAAAAATAAATGAATGGGACTACATCAAACTAAAAAGCTTCTACTCAGTAAAAGAGATCTTCAAAAGGTACAGAGACAACCATCCAAATGGGAAAATATATTTGCAAGCAACACCTCCGATAAGGGCCTAATATCCAAAATATACAAAAAACTCATACAACTCAATAACAACAAATAAATAAATGTTCCAATCAAAAAATGGGCAGAGGTCCTGAACAGAAACTTCTCTGTAGATGACATACAAATGACCAACTCGTATTTGAAAAGAAGCTCAACATCGCTAGCTATTACAGAAATGCAAATGAAAATCACAATGAGGTACAATCTCACACCTGTTAGAATAACTATAATCAACAGAACAAGTAATAACAAATGTTGGAGAGGATGCGGAGAAAAAAGAACCCTCATACACTGCTGGAGGGACTGAAAATTGGTATGGCCAATATGGAAAACAGTATGAAGGGTCTTCAAAAAACTAAGCATTGATCTACCATATGATCCAGCAATCCCTCTACTGGGTATTTACCCCAAAGACTTGAAAACCCATATCTGAAAAATATTGACACACAGATGTTCATAGCAACACTATTCACAGTGCCCAGGACATGGAAGCAGCTGAAGTGTCCTATGATAGATGATTGGATAAAGAAGTTGTGGTACATATATACTATGGAATATTACTCAGCCATAAGAAGAGATGAAATACTGCCATTTTCAACAACATGGATGGACCTTGAAATAATCATATTAAGAGAAATAAGGCAAACAGAAAAGTTTCAAAATCACATGATATCACTTATATGTGGTATATAACCTAATAGCCACAAATGAACAGGACATACAAACAGAGACTCATGGACATGGACTATGGACTAGTGGTTACCAGAAGGTAGGGATTTGAGGGGAGATGGGAAATAGATGGGTTAAAGGGGATCAAATATGTGGTGAGAGAAAGAACTCTAACTGTGGGGGGTGACCACACAGTGTAAATATATATATATATACCTTACTGTTAAAATGTACAGCTGAAACTTAATAGATTTCGTTAACCAATGTCACCATAAAAAACTTAATAATAAAAAAACCATAATAGAGCACATCAATCACTCAGTAATATTTTAAAAACTTGGTTATTTAGCACCACTCAAGGATCAACTCTTTATTGGTTTTTTAACTTAGGTGATGTCAGAGTCTTTTACCCTTCATATTGAAAACTTGGCATTAAAAGACCATCTAAAATTGGTGACATTTCCAATGCTAATAATTTTATTTTGAAATTAGGCTTCAGAAGTCTCTAGAAACAGAGGAGCCTCTCTACTGGCCAAGCCAGGGCACAGCCTAGTAGCTGCTATTCGAAGTCAGCATCTGTATGAGTCATTGCCACTAGGTATGTATCATGCTTTTTGAACCCGTGGATATCCAATACTTAATCTTTTTTTTTTTATTATTATTGTGAATCCTTTAATATTGAGAATTCTGTGGGTTTTTTTTTTCTCTTCTTTTATGGTATAGTCTTCTCCCCTTCTCTTTGCTCCCATCCTCCCCTCCCTTTTGCCTCTTTTCCCTTTCCCCTTCCTCCTCGCTTTATCCTCTCTCATACCTTCCTTCTTCCTACTCTTCCATTCTCACATCCCCCTTCTTCTTTATTCCACTCAATGATTTGTTAGCTGAATCCAGGGGAGCATAGTTCAATGAAGTGATGTATTTTGTTGCTGTTAATTACAGTTTTTAATTTAGACCTCTCTTCTCTTATGTGTATGTGGATGTCAACACAGTCTTTGTTTCTAACCTCAGCTACCTCTCTTTAAAACACGTCACTTGTATTAAGGGAAATGAAGTGAGAGTCTAAATGGATTTGGATAGTTCCATTATGACTACTGAGAAATCAACCCGTGGCCACAGGTCATAAGTTTCAAGTGCTCAGAAAATGATTTCTTTGAACTCATAAACTATGAGCTCTAAGTAACTATGGCATAATGACCAAGAGAAGTTGAAAGGAGAAGAATGAAACTCCTTTCATGGAAGATCTACTTTATTTTTCACCTCTTCACGTGGGAATGAGTTAACACCCAGTTAAGTTCCTGGAATATTAAGATGATTAACTTAGATCTAGTTCACTTTTGATCTGATTGTTTAAAAATAATAATGCTATTATATCACAGAAAGAAAAAATCCTCTAGATCTTACATTTTTTGATGAGTATATTACCTACTCTTCAATCTTCTATATTAATTCTTGTATAAAGCAGCCACCTTCCAATCATCAGAGAAATTATCTCTGAACTGCAGACTCAACCACAACTCTTCACATCTGTCTGTTTCAGCATATAATGACAAGATTGTGGCATTTCTTCGCCAGCCAAACATTTTTGAAATGCTACAAGAGCGTCAGCCAAGCTTGATGAGAAACCACGCACTCAGGTAGGCGAGTATCCCTCACCCTTCTAACCTCATATCTCTCTATCTATTTTTACAGGTGGGATACCTCTGTGAAGAGAAATGGGCAGAAGTTACTGATGCATTTTATCTATGCGCTTAAATTATAATTTGAATCCTCAAAATGAAGGGGCCAGGGGCCTCTAAGTTTCTCAGAAGTGTCATAATCAGAGATAGTTGTATTGTCAGGTTACATATCATTCATATGAGGCTAAAATTATTCCCATTAATTTGGAGGGAAGCACAGAAAAGGAGCAAAATAGTTTTAAATAAGTTATTTATGTAAAGCATCATATAAATTTCTATTTTTGAAATATAATTGTTTAATGGTAAACTAGATATTAGATGACCATATTCAAATATAAACAAACAAGCAAACAAAAAGTAGCATATATATTCTAACTACTTAAATTCTATTGTCTATATGGTCATTTTTGAACAAAAGTCTCTGAAACTCCGAATCACTTCATTTGGAAGGGATAGCCACCCAAAGAGGTTAAAAGAGAAAATATTCTCTGAACTTAAATTCCACTTTCTCATCAAGATATTCAAATATCTTTCTTCTTCAGTTTACTACCCAGAATTTCAAAAGCTGGTGCTGCATAGATGTCCCCTTGAAGTTTGAATTCTTGCTCAAATAGGAACTAACAATCAAGGCATGTTATAAAATCCTCTACACTTAATTTCCTCATCACTAAAATAGGGTCACATTGTGGGCATATTGAGATGCTTTAATGGCTATATATATAAAAGAAAAGGCAAGGTGGACAAGAATGAAATCGCCTCCTATTTGATGGTCTTCTAAATCTGTCTGACAACTATAAAACTCTACTTTATATGACTTCCTCAATTAATCACCAGTGTTTGAAAATAGCCTCTTTGTTATCCAAATCCTTATTAATCCTGCTAATATATCATTTACTATTCTTTCCTCTCCAACACTCCCTTGTTGATATCTTTTTTAAAAATCTGTGTTTTTACCTGTATAAATTAGAACCAAGATCCTCCAAACTGCCTGTTATAATCTCAATTCCTTCCGTTTTCTTCATCCCCACATCTAAATATTTATCTTCTCACTTTTTCTTTTCCATCCCTTTTTATTCTCTTCTCTCTATCATGGCCAATATTTGGATCCTCTTTATTTCTCTTCTGGACTTTGCATGGGTCTCTTAAAAGAAATCTCTTATCACCCTACTATAACCAGAATTATCTTCTTATAGCACAGATTAAATTGCATAACTCCAGCTCTTCAAAAAAATCTTCCATGATTTCCATTGTATACAGAATAAAGTTAAAAATTCTAAGCATAACTACTATGGGCTCCAAAGTCTTGCCTTAACCTAACTCTTTATCCTGTGCTAGGTGTTTTTTTTTTTTTTTTTTCTTATGGTATCTTCCACCTCCACCAAGTAGGCTGTGTCCTCTCCTACCTTTGCCCTTTCTGGAATGGCTCCTCTATTTAGGTCATCTCTGCCTGTTCCTGGATGTGATGTGAGTGTGAGGCAGCTCAATTTTAAAGGCTCAAGAGTTAAAAAAAGAAGTACCTCTCCCCATGATCCTGTCTAGAGGAAGAATTTACTGCTTCTTCTACAGTCCTCAAGTGAGGACAGTGACCACCATTCAGCCATTGCTATTCTCATGGAGCCATGGATCCACTGTCTTGGGTCCACAAAGCCAGTTGGTGGATGAGAGGGTAGAAGATGAGTTCTCTGAAACTGTTTTCAGCAGACAATAGCGAGTCATAAGGAAATCACACATAGAGGGAAAAGATGGAGCCTGCGAGTCTGGTGCTCCTTACTGAGCAGCGCCAAGGCTCACACTGGTGGTAGCTGGCTTGTTTCTGGTGTTGTTTCTTGTGGAAACTATAAGCACAGCATCTGAGGATTGCTTGCTGAATCTTGATAGGTGTCTTCAGAGGGTCATAGGGTGAGGCTAAACTTGGCCTGCAGCCGAACCCCTCTCAGGACTGTGCCACTAGACACCTACTACACAAAGCTGCACTAATAAGACCGGGAGACTTAGGAGCTCTGGTAAGTACATAGAAACAGACACAGAAAGGCAGCCAAAATGAGAAGACAAAAAAGCAGAAACCATATGAGAGAACAGAAGAGAGATCCAGGAATAATGGAGTTAAGCAATCTAACAGATGCAGAGTTCAAAACACTGGTTATAAAGATCCTCAATGAATTTAGGGGAAATGTAGATGAATTCAGTGAGAACTCTGACAAAGAGATTAAAAAAAAAACCATAAAAATGGAAATGGAAATTATAAAAAGGGAACCAGTCAAAAATTAAGAACAGATTATCTAACATGAAGAGTATATTAGAGGGAATAAACAGAGTGGATAAAGAAGTGGATCAAACCACCAATATAGAAAATGGGGAAGCTGAGGACACTCAATCAGAATGGCAAGAAAAAAGAAGCCAAGACTATAATAATAATTTAAGGAGCCTATGGAACACAATTAAATGTAAAAATATCTGTATCATAGGGATACCTGTAGGAAAACAAGAAGTTGAAAAGCTATTTGAAGACTTAATGATGAAAAACTTTCCTAATCTGGTGAAGGAAACAAATATACAACCTAAAGAAGCTCAGAGTTCCAAAAAAGATGAATCCAAATAGGCCCACAACAAGATACATTATAATTAAAATGCCAAGGATTAAATACAAAGAGAGAATCTTAAAAGCAGCAAGAGAAAAGCAGTTAGTTACCAACAAGGGCACCCCCATAAGACTGACAGCTGATTTCTCAAAAGAAGGGCTTGGCACAAAATATTGAACGTGATGAAAAGCCAGGATCTACAACCACAGCTGTCATTTAGAGTCGAAGGACAGATGAAGATCTTCCTAGACAAAAATAAGCGAAAGGAATTTATCAAGACCAAGCTAGTATTACGGGAAATGTTGGAGGGACTTCTTTAAGAAGGAAAAACATGTATCAAAAACAAGAATAAAGAATGGTAATAACTACATTCCTATCAACAAGTACCTCAAATGGAAAAGAAGTGCTTCAAGCAAAAGACAGGGTATCTGAATGGATAAGAAAACAAGAACCCTACATATGCTGTCTACAAGAGACTCACTTCAGATTAAAAGACACACACAGACTAAAAGGAAGAGGATGGAAAAAGATATTACCTTAATCAACCTAGAGGGTATTGTGCTGAATGAAATGGGTCAGATAGAGAAAAACAAATATCACATGATTTCATGTACTTGTGGAATCCAAAGAACAAAATAAACAACAACAGCAACAAAAACAGAAATAAACTCATAGATACAGAGAATATTTTAATGGCTATTAGATGGGAAAGGGGTTGTGGGGGATGGCGGAAAAGAGGCAAAGGGATTAATAAATGGATTATAAATGAATAGTTACAGAATAGACTTAGAGATGTAGAGCGTAGCATGGGTAAGATGGTTAATAATGTAATAAATATGTAAAGGGGAAGAGATGTACTAGATTTAGTGGGGTGATCGCTTTGTCAGTTATGTCAATATTTGATCACTATGCTGTATGACTAAAACTGGTATATAATTTTATGCCAACTATAATTGAAAAAAAACTCATTTAATTGTACAATGTAAATATGAGCAACTAACTGTCCATTATATTTCAATAAAGCCTGAACAAAAAAAAGACAGAGCAGAGGGACTATGCAGGAGACTATGATATTAATTTATTTGAGAGATGATGGTCATGTGGATGATGGTAGAGCATGGATGGAGGAGAGAGAGCTGCTTGTGGCGATATTATGAATACGAAAACAATAGAAGCTAATGACAGCTTGAACATGAGGGTGAGGATCTGAGAGGAATGATAGCCAGGTGTGGAGCTTCTGCAGATCAGTGGATAGTATCTGTCTTAGTCCATTTGGGCTGCTATTACAAAATACCACAGACTGAGTGGCTTATAAAGAGCTTACAGTCTGGAGACTGGAAGGCCAAGATTAGGGTTCTATCATAGAGTGAGAGTCTTCTTCCAAGTTACAGACTTCTCATACCCTCACATGGCAAAAAGGACTGACTATAGAGCTCTCTAGAATGTCTTTTATAAGGACACTAATCTCATTCATGAGGTTTCTACTTTCATGACCTAATCACATCCTAAAGGCTCCAACTCCTAATACCAACGCATTGGGAGTTAGGATTCCAACAAGCAAAAGAAAGAAAAAGTTAAATATTTTTTTTAAAAAAATCAGTCCCTAAGTCTTCTCAGATTTTTGCTCCTTCACTTCGAGAAAGAAAAAAATAATATCTTTTAAGCATGCATACAATGAAATGATTATTGGCTATGGAATTTGTAATATTCAAATATTTGAATGTCAGAGATGTCAATTGCAAGGTTAATTTGATCAAAATAAATGATATTTATCCATAGACTTATTGGAATAATTTGCCAGGTTGGAAATGGAGGTTATGAAAAAATATCAGATGCATGAAATATAATCAAACAGAGAGAAATTGATGCCTGTGCTCAGACCAACCTGGGAGACTCATGCGTTCTGGAAGCCAGACTCTCTTTAAGCCCAGCATGCCCTTATATATTTTTCATCAGACCTAAGGTTTCTCAAGAGATGATCCCTTACTCTCTTTCTCTGGCTTCCAAGATGTCAGGAGCCCACGACAACCCTTCAGCAGCTTTCCTTACCCAGCTCCACTCCTGACTGTCATAACTATTAAGTCTATCTCCTGTAAGTGGCCATCTGTGTTTCTACTAGATGAAAGCATAAGAAGGACAGTTTTATAACCTACCTTTGTTGTGTTCCTTAGCTTCTGTTTCTATGTGAGTCTGAGGAGAGGTGATCCCTTGTAGAGCATCATCAGAATATGCAGCATGAACTTAAAATACCACAAAATACACTGGACACTAAGACATTACTGTTCAGCCACATTGGAAGAGAAAAAAGGAATCAGAAAAGGATTCATTCCATATCTTATATGTTGATGTGTAACTCTTATTTCTTTCCCACATTATCCTAGGGAGAAAATCCATCACATTCGGACTGAGGGTAATCATGGGCTTGAAAAGTTGTCCTGTGATGCAGATCTAGTTATTTTGCTGAGGTAAGGGGCTAAGCCTGAAGCAATGCTGGAAAAGCCACCCCAGACAGTTCTCCTCTACTACAGCCCATGCTGAAACACTCATCATTTGGTCTAGAGGTTTCTAGCAGCTGTGACTAAAGTAGGGTCCCCATTCTTGTACCTGCTATCCATTGCCTTTATATTTACAATTTAGGTAATAAAAGCTATATATAGTACTTGATGAAGACTTTGTTGTAGAATTAATTATGGTTTAAAATAATACAGAATTTGCATTCTGCAATGTGCCTAGCTTTTGTTGTTTTGTGACAAGTGTAACCACTATTACCTCAATTCATGAACACTCTCTCATAGACAGAGGACTAACTTTTTTTTTTTTTTTTTTTGCAGTCTCTTCGAAGAAGAGATTATGTCCTACATCCCCTTGCAGGCTGCCTTTCACCCTGGGTATAGCTTCTCTCCCCGCTGTTCTCCCTGTTCTTCACCTCAGAACTCCCCAGGTAATTTGAGTACCTGACAGTCTATCTCCTGTAAGTGATCATCTGTGTTTCGACCAGATGAAAGTGCAAGAAGGACAGTTTTATGCTTGTCCTCTCTCCCTGCCTCCTCTCAATTTTCTAATGGAATGCACAGTCTAAATTGTGTGTTGACAAATTGCCACCTGTTTTTGTAACACTCCAAGGCTAGAATGCACTTTACATTTTTAAATAGTTTAATTTATTTTTTACAAAACAAGTATTTTATGATGTGTAAATTATATGAAATTCAAAGTACAGTGTCTGTAAATAAAATTTTATTGAAACCCAGCCATACTTGTTTATTTAGGTATTTTCTATTGCAACTTTTATACTACAGTAGTAGAGTTTAGTAGTAGTGACAGAGACCAAATGGCCCCAAAAGCCTAAAATATTTATTATTTGGCCCTTTGCAGAAAGGTCTGCAAGACCCCTGCACTAAATTGCTGTTGCAGTTCAAATGCATTATTCGAGTACTTAAAAGAGAAGAGTCCTTTCTGAAACATTTGTCCTTATGACTCAGAATGTTATTAGAAACCAAGTTTGCCAACTTTTATTAAGTTGTAAGGAGTTACTAGGTTATATGGTTACTAGGTACCACCATTATGTCCCCAGGAAGTTGCCAGAGTTTTCTTATATCATGTGAAATGATTCTCCTGAAGTTTTCCTTATGTGTTAGAATGAATTTACTCATGATACATAAATTTTTGTAGGTATTTTCTATTGCAAATGAGGAAATATATATTATTGAAGTGTTTAATGAAAAAGAAAAACACTATTTCCTGGGTTCATCAAGATAATTAATTTAAGTCAAATCTATACCCTCAAACAAGATCCAGATATTGTAGACTTTCCCCCCATTTGTTTGGTTTGCATTATCACATTGTCGTAGGTCTCTGTGGTAATCCCATTTTTTATAACTTTAAAAGTAAAGGAAGTTAGTTCGAAAGTTATTTCACAGCTTCAGGAGTCGGAATCCAAGTTTGGCTTCTGAAGTCAGTGGGAGAATTCAGAAGAAAAATAGAATTTAGAAATATGCTCTGTCCCTTAGAAGGAGTATCTCAGTATGGCTCAGTACTGCCATAAGTCTGTAAAACTAGATTATCTTTTAGTTTGGTCCCTCCAAATTGTGTCATTCAGAACTGTCTCTTATAGGTAGTTTTGTTAATTGTCAAACTCTGTTTTTAAGTCAGTATCTCCTTGTTACTTCCTCCTAACAAGTGTACCAATGGCATTGTTAAGGAAATGCCCAATACATGCTGCCTGTGAAATACAACGTAACTGAGATGCTATGGCCTAGGAAAAAGGGAACCAGGAGCTTTGTCAGAGACAGCATTAGGACAATCATTTCCAGTGCGCACAGGGTGACTTACTTTTGGAGAGCCAAGCCTTCCATTTGGGAAAGCTGTTGGTCTGCATGATGATCTGCCATTTTATTGTAGAGACTGTCCCAGCCTTATAATCTGTCTACACTTTGGTCCAAATCTTTGGCAACAGTGTATAATTTTAACATCACTATATGTGAGTGATATCATGTTGAAAATAGAAAAATAAGAGACAGTAAAGAGTTATTTGCTCAATGAGAATTACTTGGATAACTTTTGTAAAAAGTTATCAACTTTACTGACAGAGATATTACTGATGCCATTCATCCAATAACTCATCCAGTTTATTGGTCAAAGTGCTTAACTTTTTATTTTCCTAGCTTTAGCCATGGGATCAAAATCCAAATATAATATGTAATCCAAATATAGTGATATTAAATTTCACAATTCCCATTTTCCAGACCTTTATGAAATTTACCTAGATGCTACAGAGATAATGAATCATAGACATTTATGCTAAAGTACTTTGTAAAATGCACAATGATGACCATGGGGATAGTGGTAGTACCAGTGGTAGTAAAAGTCATATAAAATATACTGTAATCTACTAGACATAAAATTATACTTGCACCTATATACTCGTATCTTAGTTCAAACTTTATTCTGAAACCTGGCATTTCACCAAAGACATTTCTTTTCAAGTGGTGGCTACTGGTTCCCTCACACCTTAGGTGCTGCAGGGCCCGAAGGTAAGGCTGATGTCCTCTATGCTTCCTTGCTTATACCACTCAGCTGTAACTTCCCTCCTATTTACTGCCATCTACCAACTTTTTCTCATTCTCAAAGACTGTGGCACCCGTATCATGTCTCCCTCTCCTTCCCAAGTCTTTCTATCATCCTGAATGACTTCAATATCCACAAAGACCCCATTTGGTTTACTAGCTTCCTAGCTCCTAGAGCTCCTTGTCTTCAGTGACCTTCTCTTCCTCTACCTCAACCACTTGTTTCTGCAGCCATCTTCTTGCTCTTGTTATTATTTCTAAATTACTGACCTGAGTATCCTGTTTCCAACCAAAATGTTTATTCAACTACTTTCCTTATACAATCTTTTGCTCTTATCAGGACCTTCAGTTCATGGATGGCTCTCCTTTCCTTTCTGTCTTTCCCTTATCCAGCATAGATTCTATGTTTCATCATTTCAGTAACGTCATTGCCAATGCTCTAAATTTCCTTGATCTTCTGCATTTTATTTGCATATTCTAGCATAACTCTACCCCTAGATAAACCTTACTATCTGGTTTCTCTTCATCTGTAGCCATACATTCTTGGGCAAATTCACCTAACAGGGCAGATTATTAATTATAAATTAATTATATCTCATCTTACCTAGACCTTTTGCATTCAAAGTAAAATTCTACCACATTTTTTTGGGGGGGTAAACTTAACTATATTCTCTATGCTATACTTCACGTCCTCATGATTATTTTGTAACTACCAATTTGTACTTCTTAATCCCTTCCCCCTTTGCACTCATCCCCAACCCCGCTCCCATTGGCAACCATCAAAATGTTTTCTGTATCTATGAATTCGTTCTGCTTTGTTCATTTGTTTCTTTTGTTCCTTAGGTTATAAATTTAAGTGAAATCATATGGCATTTGACCTTCTCTGTCTGACTTACTTCACTCAGCACAAGACCCTCTAGGTTCATCCATGTTGTTTCAGATGGCAAGATTTCATTCCTTTTTATGGCTGAGTAACGTTCCACTGTATATATATACCACCTCTTCATTATCCATTTACTTATTAATGGGCACTTAGGTTACCTCCATATCTTGGCTATTGTAAATGTGCTGCAATGAATATGTGAATTAACATGTCTCTTCAAAGTAATATTTGGGTTTCTTCAGATAAATACCCCAAAGTGAGATTGCTGGGTCTTTTTTTGTCACTTGATATAGCCTCTGTTTTAAAGTTTATTTTTGTCTAGTATAAATATTGCTACCCACCTTCTCTTTTTTTGTTGTTCATTTTCGTTTTCATGAAATATATTTTTCCATTCCTTTACTTTCAGTCTGTATGTGTCTTTTGATCTGAAATGAGTCTCTAGTAGGCAGCATATGTAAAGGTCTCATTTTATTTTCCTTTTAGCCACCTATCTTTTGATTGGAGCATTTAATCCATTTAAATTTGAAATAATTGTTGACAGATATATACTTATTGCCATTTTATTATTCATATTTTTATCTTATTTCTTCTTTGTAAAGAAGTTTCTTTAACATATTTTGTAATACTAGTTTGGTATTGATAAACTCCTTTAGCTTTTTCTTGTTTTGGAAGCTTTTTTATCTGCCCTTCGATTCTAAATGATAGCTTTGCTGGTTAGAGTAGTCTTGGTTGTAGGTGTTCATGCCAATCCCTCTGGCCTGCAAAATTTCTGTCAAGAAATTAGATTAAAGTCTTAATGGAGTATGTTTGTAAGTGACTAGCTGCCTTTCTTTTGCTGCTTTTAGGATTCTCACTTTGTCGTTAAGTTTTGCCATTTTATTTATAATGTGTCTTGGTATGGGCCTCTTTGAGTTCATCATGTTTGGGACTCTCTGGGCTTCTTGTACTTAATATATATTTCCTTCACCAGATTAGAGAAGTTTCTGTCACCATTTTTTCAAATAGATTTTCAATTCCTTGTTCTTTCTCTTCTCCTTCTGGTCACCCAATGTTGTAAATATTGGTATGTTTGATGTTGTCCCACAGGCCCCTTAAACTATTCTCATTTTTTTAAATCCTTTTTCCTTGCTGCCATTCTGATAAGATGTTTTCTGCTACCTTATCTTGTAAATCTCTGATTCCATTCTCTACTTCATCTAATCTACTCTTGATTCCTTATAATGTATTCTTCATGTCGATTATTTTATTCTTTACTTTTGACTGATTCTTTTTATGTTTTCTATCTCTTTGTTTAAGTTCCCACTGAGTTCATCTGCTTTTCCCCTCAGTTCATTGAGCATCCTTATAACCAGTGTTATAACCAGTGTTTTGAAGTCTGCATGTGGTATATCATTTGTCTCCATTTTGTCTATTTCTTTTTCTGGAGCTTTGTTCTTCTCTTTTATTTGGGACATCTTTCTCTGTCTCCCCATTTTGGCTGTCTCCCTGTGTTTGTTTTTGTGTATTAGGTAAGGCTCCTATGTCTCCCAGTCGTAATCAAGTGGCTTTATGTAGTAGGTTTCTGTGGACCCCAGGGGCACAGTAACTCTGGTCACCTGAGCTGGGTGTTCCAGGTATGTCTCTTGTATGGGTTTTGTATGCCCTCTTTTCGTAGTTGAGTCTTGATTGCTGTTTGCATGTTAATGGGAGGGGTTGAACCTCGGGCTGATTAGTTTTATGGACTGGCCGGTGACTACAGTGGAGGATCTGTTGTGCAGGGGCTGACCTTGCAGAGCAGAATTCACTTTAGCAGGTCTCTGGTACCTGCCCAGTCTGTCCTCTGGATGTGTTGTCTTTGGATGGGGCCCTGGGTGGTGCTCCAGTTTGGTCTGAAGCTGGCCCTTGGGCATGCCAGCCCCAGGGCCTTTTGGGAGGTGCCTGCCACAGGCCAAGTTCAGCCATAGCCTGTGCCTTTCCCATGACCACCTAGCATGAGCCACCAAGCATGCTTGGCAAGAGGTACAGGGCACACCAAGACCAGAGGCTGCTTGTCTGGGTTTTGTGAACCTTTGAGAGATGTTAGGAAAGTTCACAGCATGAGCCAAGACATGCCATTTTTCTTGAAAAGCCGCTGGAAGCAGCTGAAGTGGGCCCACAAGTTGGGTGGAGTGTGGTCTCAGGGAATCACTAGGGCAGGGCAACCTGTGTTAGCCAGGTTTATGGAGACTGCATGCTGAGAATGGGGAGAGCTCAAAGAAGAAATACTGGATTCTGCCTACAAGGCTCACTTTAAATTGAAACATACACACAGACTGAGAGTAAATGTGTGGAAGAAAATGTCTCATAAAAATGGAAACAAATGAAAAAAGAAGATGGGGTAGCAATATTTATGCCAGACAAAATAGATTTTAAAACAGAGGCTATATCAAGTGACAAAAAAAGACCCAGCAATCTCACTTTGGGGTATTTATCCGAAGAAACCCAAATATTACTTTGAAGAGACATGTTAATTCACATATTCATTGCAGCATATTTACAATAGCCAAGATATGGAGGTAACCTAAGAGCCCATCAATAAATGAATGGATAATGAAGAGGTGATACATATATACAGTGGAACGTTACTCAGCCATAAAAAGGAATGAAATCTTGCCATCTGAAACAACATGGATGAACCTAGAGGGTCTTGTGCTGAGTGAAGTAAGTCAGACAGAGAAGGTCAAATGCCATATGATTTCACTTAAATTTATAACCTAAGGAACAAAAGAAACAAATGAACAAAGCAGAACGAATTCATAGATACAGAAAACATTTTGATGGTTGCCAATGGGAGCGAGGTTGGAGATGAGTGCAAAGGGGGAAGGGATTAAGAAGTACAAATTGGTAGTTACAAAATAGTCGTGAGGATGTGAAGTATAGCATAGAGAATATAGTCAATACTATTGCAATAACTATGTACAGTGTCAGTTGGGTACTAGATTTATCAGTGTGATCACTTTGTTAGCTATATAAACATCTAATCATTATGTTGTATCTCCTGAAACTAATATAATATTGTTTGTCAACTAAAATTTTTAAAAAATTAAAATTTGCTTAAAAGTAAACAAATGTAAAAGAAAAAAAGAAACAATGGATTCTACCAGCTCTTCTGTCTGGGATAAAGCTACCCCTCCAGTACTCACTCTGAAGCCATTTCCTCCCCTTATGTCCCTGGCACCTTTTGAGCTGTTGCCCCAGCAATGAAGAGCAGAGTGAGCGATTCCATTAGCTAGAAAATCCATGAACTGGCATTTTAAAAATAGTGCTTGGTACTCCAGCCATCCTCCATCTCACTCAGCCACAATCTCCACTGTTTTTCACAGCAAAACGTGTGGATACTTCTCTTCCTGTCATTGGAATCTTGGGCTAAGGAGCCTGGTGTGGACCTGGGACCCCTTGCTCCTCTGAGGGAACCTCCACAACCAAGATATCCCTCCCAATTTTTAATTGCCACACATGGTGTGAGACAAGCCCCTTCTGCATTTCTGCCCCCCTACCAGTCTTGAGGTGGCTTATTCTGTATGGCTTTGTTGTAGGACATCTGTTCACCTAGACTTAAGTTGATTTCTCTAAGATAATTGTTCCATAGTTTAGTTGTAATTTTGATATGGTCATGAGAGGAGGCAAGCACAGCATTTATATACTCTGCCATCATGACCTGAAGTCTAAGAATGACATTTTTATAACTCAAGTCATATTATGTCAGTCACTATGCAACGGCTTTCTATTGTGCTTAGCATTAAACAAACTTTCTTAACACAGCATACTTTACCCTGTTTGATCTGCCTCTTGCTCACTTCTCAAGTTTAGTTTAACACTGTGTGTGGTTCTTATACATACATGTACTTCAGGTAAACTGGAACACTACTTTCCATTCTGCTGCAATACCTTTACACATGCTGATTCTCTACCTATATTGGCTTTTTTCTCCCAACTTATTTCTTCTCTTCGCTAAATGGAAGCCCCTTCTGACTTATTCAGTCTCATTTATGCTTACTTATGCTTCAGATCTTCCCCATGGAAGGCATCCTGCACATGGCCAAAGTGTTCTGTAATCTCAGAGAACTGAATTCCTTTTCTTCATGGGTAGCAATCACTTCAAATTGCAATTATATTCTAATTTCTATGAGTTTTTGATATCAATCTTCTCTAGATTATAAATTCAATACCTTAAATATAGTAATTAATAAAGGAACAAACCTTGGGGAAGAATGTTATTTTTTCCATTCTGTTTTTTTCATTAAAAGGTGTATAAAGATAATAAAGCATTTATAAAGCCCTCTGGGTGATAGAAAAACTCTCTTCTAGTAGAGTCAAGGAAATTATTATTATCATTATTATTATTATTTAATTTTGTTTATATGATGCAAGGTAATCTAATATAAAGTCCTAAGTGCTCTGAGCCCTAGTAGACAGGTATGTTTATTTTAGCATCAATATCAATACACTTAGAGAAGTACAACATATACATATATTAGTGCTAGTTGCCTCATTAAAGTTACAGTCATTTCTTATAATATACTGACTTACAAGAAAAATTTAGTCTAGCACTGTTTACATTGTTATAGATTATTTAAGTACTATTTAGCCAGAAAATATGCTTATTAAAGTATTTTGATGAGAAATAGAACTTGAAATGGAGTGGAAAACATAAATATTTATTGTCATCAGAATTCAATAAATATTTTCTTTATTGTATTATTTATATTTATTATAAAAGTAACTGAGAGAGTGATGGAAATTAAGGGAAACTTCTTGGGGAAGAAAAATATGAAGTCACAGGAATATGCCTCTGGTCAGACTTTCCTCTGCTGTTGCTCTGTGTATTTGCTCTTGACCTTCAGCCCATGTTCTTCTCTCGTCAGGTTTACAGAGAGCCAGTGCAAGAGCCCCTTCACCCTACCGAAGAGATTTTGAGGCCAAGCTCCGCAATTTCTACCGAAAATTGGAAGCCAAAGGATTTGGTCAGGGTCCAGGGAAAATTAAGTGAGTGCTCCAGTACTTGGAACAGAATTCAGATGGTAGCTTTTTCTATCATTTTCTCCTATATACCTTTGTAATATTTGTTTTGGATATTGGATACCTTGGTGTGGTAGCAGTTTTGTTCATAGAAAAGCGAAAGAAAAAATGTTAGTAAGTTGGGAAGAAAGAAGAAAGGAAGTTAAGGAATTGGAAGGGAGGCATAAAGTGAAGGGAAGAGAAGAGTAGAAGAGAGAGAAAGAACAGTAGATTGCAGAAAAAGGCATATGTAAAGTTAATAGTAGACTTTTTCAGAAAACAAAGAATCTTGAACTAAATAAAAAAATCTTATATTTCTCTTCGCTTATTCTTGGTGCAAATTTAATTCATTAGTCAAATTCATGGACTCTTTGTAACTTTGTAATTGGAGTATAAGTAAAAAGTTGTTTGTTTGTTTGTTTTTTCCTTCTGAATTTATTATTTTCATCTTGAAAAACTGAGCCTGAACTTAGGAATTCAACTGAAGAGATTCTGTTTTTTCTTAAATTAATTCCAAAAATCCAAAACGTAGTCTAATAGGATGGAATGTATCCAATTATAAAAGTGCACACACTGTGTTCCAAATAATTTGAAAAGAGTGTTTAAAAAGTCCATTGATCAACTGATGGAATCTGTACCTCCTTGGAGAGGCTGGAGAGTGAGACTAAACCACGCACCTAGAACACTCTCCAACATCAGAGCTTTGAGTCATTACTCACTACCCACATGGCTTCTTCTCCTTCCCAGGCTTATCATTCGTCGGGACCACTTGTTGGAGGGAACCTTCAATCAAGTGATGGCCTATTCCCGGAAAGAGCTCCAGCGAAACAAGCTCTATGTCACCTTCGTTGGAGAGGAAGGGTGAACATCAGTAGTTTTATACAGATACCTCAATTTGGGTAGACTAGACCCTTGGATTTGGGGTGATTTTTCTTAAGAATAAGCAAGATGTCTCTAAGCCTTTGCCCCAAGGTGATTCTGATCATGTCCTCCCAGGAGGTCTTTCTCTCTCCAGGTATTGCCAAGCTTTAGGTTTCATATTCTTTAAAAGCCTAATATTGACAGGTACTAGAGTCTGAAGTATATGGTCAAAGTATAAGCCAAAAATATAGCCCTAAGCTACTGGATCTTTACTTTTTCAGGTGGTGCATACTTCTGAGAATTTGATTAAAAAAATAATAATAATAATAAAAATAAACCCCAAAACTCTTCATCCTAAAGTGCGCATATACAACTATATACCAAATTTTTCATATAATTTCATTGATTTCATAAAAACCCATCTCAACCATGGAAGGCAAGCCCACGTAGAAGGGCATATCAGCATAAATTTGGAAGCTTTTCAATTCACACACATGCACACATGCATACATGCACACACTGTCATGGGAAATTCTCTTGTGCCTCTTCCAAAAAAGTTCTTTTTTTTTGATAAGCCAGCTGTATGTTTTATCCAGTAGTTGCTATATGATCAAAAAAGTTAAGAAACATTGCCATACAAATTCATTCATGCACTTCTGAGTACGAAGATCCCCAAAGCTATTACAGCATCCTCATCTTCTAGAGCAAATTGATACTGCCATTGGGATCCACTCTAAAGAGCCAGGGCTACTCTCTCTTTTCCCCAGCACTGACTCTGAAAGAGCATACTAGCACCTAGTTAGAGATAAGACCCTTACTTCTTGTTTGTAATGAGTTTCCTGGCCTCTGCTTCTTTTGCAGCCTGGACTACAGTGGTCCTTCGCGAGAGTTCTTCTTCCTTTTGTCTCAGGAGCTCTTCAACCCTTATTATGGACTCTTTGAGTACTCTGCAAACGATACTTACACAGTGCAGATCAGCCCCATGTCTGCATTTGTGGAAAACCACCTAGAATGGTAAGATTTAGAATTTTTGCTTTCTTATGCTTGAAAGTTCTAGTCTTTCTTAGTCAGAAGGCAACAGCATTTCTCAACAGCCACTGTGTTTAGAGCAGTGTGTCAGATATAATGAAAGGTGATGAGAGTGAACAACGAAGCATTAGAAGACTCTGTTAGTTTTCACCCAGAATACAAAATAAATTACTAAAGACACTGCAAATGTATTGTCAACTGCAAATTGATGTAAAACACAGTAATCGCTTTCTGAGGTAAGTAGACATAAATCCTGAATATTGATAATTCTACTAAAATTATGAGTTCCCAGTGGAGGCTCCTTAGAGGTATTCATGGATTTGAAATCCTTTAACACCTGCACACTTTTGGGCCAATGGCTTTAGCACTATGAACATCAGATTCTACATCTTATCATAAAATAAGCTGTTGGGTCAAATGATCTCTAAGTATTCTTTTGACTAAAAAACCCAGTTATCTCTTTGGTTCTCTCCTATTGAGGCATCTATTACCACTTACTGATATGTGTGAGAAGATAAATATCTGTCAATTCTATGCAGTTCTTTGGGTGAGATACCTCAAGTATTAGAAGCCTCCAGAAATCTGCATGGGACATGTATTATGCATACACTTTCTTGCTGTGTCACCACCACACCTGATTTGAAAATTACCCCTGTTCTCACCACAGGAATTTCTGCCATTAAGGAAGAAATGAGTCTTGGAGATTGCTAATGTGGTTCTTATGTGACATTGCTTATTTATGATGTGTTACAATGGCTGCCGATGAAGGCAGCTTCTGCTTGACACTTGGGCCTGCTGGGCTTACAGGCCAAATCTCTATATTTTGGTTTTATAGCATCAGTAATCCACCTCTGCTAAGGCTTCTAGCTATTGCCATGCTGTTCTCTCCAGTCTCAGCTCTGTAGTTTTTGACCTATGGCAGGCATGCCTACATCAAGCATTTGAAACAAGTGACGAAACAAAATTTACCCTTTGTCATTTTTTTTCTTGTCACTTATTAATAAAGGGAGAAAAAGCCTGTGAGACAGAAATACACAGACAAGTGGAGCAGGGAAATTGTTGCTAAGGAGACCTATGACTCAGAATCTGCAATTTTAATAAAGCAATTATAAATATAATCCTATTTTAATAAAACAATTATAAATTTAGCACATACTATGTTGGAATGATGCAACAATGAAATGAGCAAGATCTCTTCCCTAAAAAAGCTATAGTGGGAAGAACACAAGAGTGAACCAACAATTACAATACAAAATCTCGGGAAACATGGTGGAGTGAGATACATCCTCAGATCTCTCCTCTTGAAACAACAATAAGCTGAATATCTAAAACTCAAAAAAAAAAAAAAAACCCCACCCAAACTGCACACCAGCACGTCTGAGCGTGGGATCTGTGCATAAGAGCTACCACAGGTCAGAACCCCGGGTGTCAGGTGGTGGACTGGGTGAAATAAAGAAGCTGCCTCTTGCAGTCTCTGGAGCTCCTTGAAAAAGGAGGGGGAGGGGTGAAGGTATGGCGACTTCCCTGATCAGCCTGCCTGAAGTGCCAGAACTTCTAGCAGCTGGCAACAAGGTCCAGTCACCAGAAAGTAGAGAAGTGGAACGGGACCACAGAGAAACAACAGTTGATTTTTACAGGCCCTGGTTGCAAAACCAAGGCTGAGGCGCAGTCCCCAACCCCCAAACCAGAGTGTCCCTCGCCCCATACCCTCCGAGACTGAATACCGCAGAATCCAAGGGAATGTGAGCAAATGCTGCCGAGATTGAAGCTACCTTTTACAGCCTCTGGAGCTCCCTACAGGAGGAGAGGGAGGGGAGAAGATGCGATGACATTCCTGATCAGCCTGCCTGGAAGTGCCAGAACTTACAGCAGCCAGCAGCTGGGCCTAGTCATCAGGGCAGAAAACAGAAAAGTGGGACAGGACTACAGAGAAACAACAGCTGATTTGTACCAGCCCAGCTGCAAAACCGAGGCAGAGCCGCAGCTCTCAACCCCCAACCCAAAGGGCCCCTCCCCGGTACCGATCACCGTGGAGTCCCTGGGGAATCTGAGTAAACACTGCCAAGACTGTTGCTAAACTGACAGGAACTGAAACTGAGAGTAGCAAGTGTGATTAAATATCTACAAAAAAATTAAAAGACATTTAGGCTTTATATAAAGCAGGGATCCAAGAGACTTAGAAGCCACCTACTGGAACCAAAAGAAAAACGTTTTTTCTTTGCAGCAGACTAAAGAGATACCTTTATATAATAAATCTTCTTTCTGGAAAAACAACAGAATACACTTCCATTAATGCCCAGGCAGAGAAATAGTTCATTAAACACCATGAACAATCAAGGTGACAAGGCATCTCAGAAAGAAAGAAAAAAATCTCCAGAAAATAAGATTACAGACATAGAAATATGCAACTTAAATGACAGAGAATTCGGGATGGTGCTTCTAAAAAACTCAGTGAGATCCAAAGTCAGTCATATCACCAATTTCAGGTATTGATACAACAACTAGATGAGCAGAATGAGTTCTTTAGAAAGGAGATTGAAACCCTCAAAAAGAACAGAATAGATCTTCTGGAAATAAACACACACACACATACACACACACACACACACTGAAAGAGTTGAAAATGAAATAGCAAGCTTGGGAAATAGAGTCGACCAAATGGAGGAAAGGATCAGTGATATCGAAGACAGAAATCTATAAATAAAACAAAAGAAAGAAGAGAGAAACCAAAGAATGAAAAATAATGAAAGAGAAATACAAGACCTAGCTGGAGACCCATCAGGAGAGGAAACATAAGCATAATGGGCATTATGGAAGGTGAGGAAAAGGAGCAAGGACTAGAAAGCATCTTCAGACAAATAGTTGACGAAAAATTTCCCAAATTTAAGGAATGAGCTGGAGCTTGGAATTCAAGAGGTCAACAGAACACCCAATGATCTCAACCCATAAAGGCCTTCGCCAAGACACATAGTATTTACTTTATCAAAATTAACAACAAAGACAGAATTCTCAGGGCAGCCAGAGAAAAGAAGATGGCAACTTATAAAGGAAAACCCATTAGATTATCATCAGACCTCTCAGCGCAAACCATACAAGCCAGAAAAGGATGGAATCAAATATTTAAAATACTAAGTGAAAGGAACTACAAGCCTAGAATAATGTATCCAGCTAAGTTCTCCTTTAGGTATGAATAAGAAATTAAGACCTTTTCAGACATACAAAAATTGGGGGAATTCTCCACTACGGGGCCTCACTACAGGAAATACTGAAAGGTGTCAGCTCATCTAAAACAAAATAACAACAACAACAAAAATATATAATTAGGATTAAAGTGACTGTCAGGCAAATAGAAGCAGAGGAGTGCAACCTTTACTAAGAATAGGACATTATAAGCTTAAATAATAAGAACAGAATTGCTATAACAAGATAGCAATGAACATTCAGCACACACAGCAATAAACTGAACCTGTGGTACATATATACAATGGTCTATTATTCAGCCATAGAAGAGATGCAATACTGCCATTTGCGACAACCTGGATGGACCTCGATATAATCATTCTAAGTGAAATAAGCCAGACTGGTCTCTAGCCATGATACCCTGAACAAATCTGATCCCGTCTGATCTCGGAAGCTAAGCAGGGTCGGGCCTGGTTAGCACTTGGATGGAAGACCACCTAGGAAGACCAGGTGCTGTAGGCATACAAAATATAAAGTAAGGGATTGTAAGAAAAAGGAGAAGAAGAAGAAGAAAAGTAATAAGCCAGACTGAAAAAGTTGAAAATCACATGATATCACTTATACGTGGGATATAAACCCACATATGGACATGGACAATGGACTAGTGGTTACTAGAGGGTAGGGGGTGGGGGAGGAGGAAAGAGGAAGAGAGGGTAAAAGGAGTCAAATATAGTGGGGTAGGGAGAGGGCGAAGTGGGTAAAGGGGATCAAATATATGGTAGCTGAAGGAAACTGGACTCTGGGTGGTAATCACACAATAGAATATATAGATGTCAAGTTATAATGTACACCTTAAAATTGTATAATTGCATTAACCAATGTTACCTCAATAAACTTAAAAAAATTAAAAAATATAAACTCAAGCATCTTGGACTTAAAGGGTATTTTATGAATTTGACTTCAAATTCAAGGGAAGTAAAAGCTGAAATAAATGAATGGGACTATATTAAACTAAAAAGCTTTTACTCAGCTTAAGAAACTGTCAACAAGGTAAAGAGACAACTATCCGAATGGGAAAATATATTTGCAAGCAACACCTCCTATAAGGGCCTAATATCAAAAATATACAAAGAACTCACACAACTCAAAAAAACTAACAATCCAATCAAAAATGGGCAAAGGACCTGAACAGACGCTTCTCCCTAGAGGACATACAAATGACCAGCAAATATTTGAAAAGATGCTCACTATCACTAACTATTAGGAAAATGCAAATCAAAACCACAATGAGGTACCATCTCACACTTGTCAGAATAGCTATAATCAACAGGACAAGTAATAACAAATGTTGGAGAAGATACCAAGAAAAAGGAACCCTTATACACTGCTGATAGGACTGCAAATTGGTACAGCCACTATGGAAAACAGTATGGAAGTTGCTCAAAAAACTAAGAATTGATCTACCATATGATCCAAGAATCCATCTACAGGGTATTTACCCCAAAGTCTTGAAAACCCATGTCCAAAAAGATATTTGCACACAGATGTTCATAGCAGCATTATTCACAGTGGCCAGGACATGGAAGCAATCAAAATGTCCTACAATAGATGATTGCTAAAGAAGCTGTGGTACATATATACAATGGAATATTACTCAGCCATAAGAAGACGTGAAATACTGCCATTTGCGACAACATGGATGGACCTCAAGATAATCATGCTAAGCAAAATAAGCCAGACAGAAAAAGTTGAAAACTACATAATATCACTTATATGTGGTATATAAACCTAAAAGCAACAAATGA